ACCGTTTGATCAATGTGGTAAACAAAAATATTTCCAGGCGGCCTCATAGTTCACCTGACGCCGCCATGATGACCGGACGCCGCCTGGAGCCTCGGTTCCAACTGTCTGACACTTCACCTCCATCGTCCGACCCATCTTCCTGTTTAGACAGCACTTATTGCAACTTGTGGACCATCCTACTTATAGTGACATAATGGGCAATTAGAAAACAGAATTTGGTACTATTAATTTTGGACAAACCGGAAAAATTTTGTATAATGTTGGTAATAAAACCTAGCCTAATCATCCTAGGCCTAACACACGCTAACTGAGGCGTATTATAGTACATATATGTGCTATACTATGCTTAGGAATATTTAAGTTTGTTTTTTAGCTTAATTTTTCCAGACTGTAAAGTGAATTCCCAAATGCTAATAAGTGTGCATTGCATCAATATATATACAATGGTTTTCATAGTTACAAAAATTGCTATCTGAACAGGAGGATGGGCTGCCTTGTCTAATATCTTATTTCTTAAATGTGATGCTACAAGAATTTATATTCTAGAAACAATAAAATGTAGCGGAAGCAAATCTAGCAAAGGAAAAATATACAGAATCAACAGAATAGGGGAGTGTTGATGGTTAGGTACTACCTAACCATCTGAATTAGGCACATCTCCTGTGCCAGGTAAGTACGACGGGCTCAGTACTACCGAACCATCTGAATTAGGCATATCTCCTGTGCCAGATAAGTACGACGGGCTCAGTACTACTTAACCATCTGAATTAGGCACATCTCCTGTGCCAGGTAAGTACTACCTAATCATCTGAATTAGGCACATCTCCTGTGCCAGGTAAGTACGACGGGCTCAGTACTACCTAATCATCTGAATTAGGCACATCTCCTGTGCCAGGTAAGTACTACCTAATCATCTGAATTAGGCACATCTCCTGTGCCAGGTAAGTACGACGGGCTCAGTACTACCTAACCATCTGAATTAGGCACATCTCCTGTGCCAGGTAAGTACGACGGGCTCAGTGTTGGAAATTTCCAACACTAATAAACTACTATTGTATTATAATAAATCATTATTATTATATACTAACTACAGTAGTCACTAAATTTACTAACAGTAGTGTCAACATAAACTAACCATTGCATCTGCATATTAATGCTAGAATTCTCATGAAATTGAGCAGCAATATTGCGTCAGATAATGTCTAGTTAGACACATTTATTACCAATGGGTTAGAGAATTGAATGTGGTTCTCTAAAATCATCAGTATTCCGTGTAATAATTACTTACGGATAATATAACTCTCAATAATCTCAAATCGAGAGTTATTAGCTAAATTGTTCTGTAGTAACATTTCCTTCAGTCATGCACGAATGTCATGGAGAGAGATAAATTTTTCTCCATTTCTCGTTTAACATCATAAAACGAGAATATTTAAACCCCTATAATTGCAACCCAGTCCTCATTAACGCATTTCATCCATAATCGCGCGGAAAAGAATTATTTGTGATTAATAATTTCTGTGGTGAATGCGAGAGCCGGGTTGGGGAAGGCGGCGACGCCATTGTGGAGACGACAGCGTGCGAGAGAGGAGGGTTCTGGCGTGAAGAGTGACGAGACACGTGGTGATTGGGAGTTATCGGCAAGAATTACGCTGATACCTAACTAATAATGAATAATTATTCCTCCACGTGCTCTATAGTGCCCAGCCAGCCAATAACGCGTCTACAATTAAAGCCAAAACCCACAAATACGCGTACAACGCAGTGAACGTCTGGGACTGGCAGACGCGATATCGGCAGACTTCAGTATTCCATACACTCACGTTAAGTATAGGTTTCTTTCTTGATGCATCATCTAAGATTGTATATTTGTGAGTAGTCTGTCGTTATATAGTGAGAAGACCCCAAATCCAACGTTAGTACCAGTTCGGCATTTCTTCTGTTTCATGAATATTGAGCTTAAAAGTAGCCTATTCCAATGCTACTTAATATTCTTTAAATTTCAGCCCGTATGTGAAGAGTCATCGAGTCGTTTCTCTTCATTCGCGCTATTCACCTTTAGTTCCTTCTATGTGGAGATCCTGTGATCACGAGGACGAATGACGAAACGATGTCATAGAAATCTTCTTAAAGCTAAGACTCCTTTCGTACAAATTTAATTCACCTAATTTGATTCTTATACAATTTTGTAGGATCACTATATTGAATAGATTATTACCAGATATGATGATTGGTAATTCATGTGTTTGCTCTGACTGTTGCTCAGTAATTTAATAATCATTAATATTCACATATTGGAATCTATAGCAGTTAAGATTTATAATATCATTTACTCAGCAATGAACTGGTGGCGAACCACACTAGTTCCTAGACGTATATGAAGTTCTAGCAATACCCCCCCCCCCCCCCAATGTAGGTGTTTGAGGCTCTGACTTTAATTAATTAATCATACAGTCCATTCATTATTTCAAGTGATTATCCTTTTTAATAATTATCCATAGACACTGGTTCTCTAGTGTTATTCTAATGATCACTTTTATTAGTTTTCCCTCTTTTCTCAAAAGTGGGTGGTCCTTCGTTATTAAATTAAATAACTGAATAATTGAGTCAAGCCCCAGATATCCCACACTCAGTACTACCTAACCATCTGAATTAGGCACATCTCCTGTGCCAGGTAAGTACGACGGACTCAGTACTACCTAACTATCTGAATTAGGCACATCTCCTGTGCCAGGTAAGTACTACCTAATCATCTGAATTAGGCACATCTCCTGTGCCAGGTAGGTACTACCTAACTATCTGAATTATGCACATCTCCTGTGCCAGGTAAGTACGACAGGCTCAGTACTACCTAACCATCTGAATTAGGCACATCTCCTGTGCCAGGTAAGTACGACGGGCTCAGTACTACCTAATCATCTGAATTAGGCACATCTCCTGTGCCAGGTAGGTACTACCTAACCATCTGAATTAGGCACATCTCCAGTGCCAGGTAAGTACGACAGGCTCAGTACTACCTAACCATCTGAATTAGGCACATCTCCTGTGCCAGATAAGTACGACGGGCTCAGTACTACCTAACCATCTGAATTAGGCACATCTCCTGTGCCAGGTAAGTACTACCTAATCATCTGAATTAGGCACATCTCCTATGCCAGATAAGTACTACCTAACCATCTGAATTAGGCACATCTCCTGTGCCAGGTAAGTACGACGGGCTCAGTACTACCTAACCATCTGAATTAGGCACATCTCCTGTGCCAGGTAAGTACGACGGGCTCAGTACTTTCAGACCAGTTGGCATGAGGTACCTAGGAGCTTTGCAATTACTTTATTCATTCTCGTATTCTTAAAGATATCCTCACAGTGTACCCAAAATTTGCCAGTGCAGGCTACTAAACATATGGCCCTGTATGACTAACCATCCTGCGAGATGGGGACTTTTATTACCACTGCTACTTTATTCAATCTTGTGTTGATGATATCCTCAAAATGCTTCTGGAGTTTGCCAGTGCAGACTGCCCATCACATGCCTCTGTATGACTAACCATCCTGTGTGATGGGGATTTTTTAGCATCACCTAGTTAGCTTTTTTGATACACTGTGCTCCATTTCATATAGTCTAGGGTAGCTGCACTAATGCAGATGTACCTTTTGTATTAATAAAAAAAAAAAAAAAAGGCTCGGTGCTATAGCCCGTGCTACTTGGACCTTTTTGCTCCGAGTAGCTGAATTAATACATCAAAAGCAATCTGAATTAGTTGTTAGTGATGATCTCGATTTTGATTCCTGATGATGCAAGTGGTTGGGCACTATTCCTGCACTTCATTCTCAAATCCCAGATTACTGTCCTCATATCCCAGCTCCTGTCCTCATATCCATCCCAAATGCTATAAATAGTCATACCGGCTTAGTGCCTTCTGATATTAACCTGACAACAATGCTGTGCCTGGCTAATACAATTGTGAGGGCCAGCTTGGGTCTGTTAGTGTTCATGTCATATACCTGCGTCCCGTAATGTTTAGTTGACTGGAATCAATGTAGGAATCGTTTATGTTTAACGTGTTTATGCTTTTCAGAATTCATGTTGTATCAGCCCATCCTCCTAAGGTTTCCAAATGTCACGAAACTGTCGTACTAAAGTGCCTTTATACTAACCTTCCACAGGACTCAAAACAGGAAACGGGACAGACTCAATTTCGAGAGTCGCTACCATTTTCTAGTGCGATGATTTTTGGCCTTGGGTAGATTATGCATCAAAATGTGACGCTGTTAGGAAGATGGGTTGATAGCGTATATATTTTTAGAAGGTTACGCAATACTTAATGACTGGTTATCCTTGCCTTTGAGTGGCAATGTTGGTCGGGGTTATTCTGTAGCTTAGCGGGGGTACTGTAGCGTAGTGATGGGGTACTCTAGCATGGTGGGGGTGTCTTGAAGCGCATTGTTGTTCCAGTAGCGCATTGGGAGTAGGGGATCCCCTGCAGCACGGTGGTGGGTGGCATAAGAAAAAAGGAAACCCCTATTTATATCAGTCTAATCTCTATTGTGTTACCATATTTGAAATCATTTCCAAAATAGTATTTACCCAGTTCTTTCTTAAATCTAAACTTACCTAATTTACTTCCATTATTTCGTCCAGATATGTTAACTGGCCCATTTATGCTAACTCTTTCTTAGAAAGAATCAAGCCTAAAAAACAAACTCCAATAGTTACGCCCTAATAACCAAGCACCTAATTAAATTTAGGATAACATCATGTGCGCATTAGTCAGTGAACTGGAGTCCCAATCCAGTGGTCCCGCTTTTGAGGTCCTCGACAGTACGTAAACTCTGACCACGTTTCCTTACACCTTATGCCTATGTAACCAGATTAAACCTCCCAGGAGGACTTTTTGTATAATAAATGTAATTGCTGGGTTAAAATAATCTTATACAAATCTGTATTATATAATTTCTAAACAAGACAAGGTTAAGTAAAGCAGTAATCCGGAGCCCATTACATACGCAGTCTACATTATTTAGTAATAATGTAAAATGTGCATATTGTTTGCTATTGAATACAAGTGTATATATTGCATACTAATACACACAGAATACTAATCTTTTTTGTTTGTTATCATTCATTTGATTGGTTACACATTTACTTAGAAATTTGCGTTACTTTTGTTAAGTAATTTATAAGCTTTAAGAAATGCTGAGAAGCTTGTGTTTAATGTGAGGCGTTGTTGTGAGATGGTCTGAAGTGTGAGGTCATCCTTCGTCCGCACACATATCTGAGGCGCCCCAGCTCTTCCTCGAGGGCGTCTCTAAGTGCCAGCTTCTCCTTCACGTCCTTCGCGAGGAGTGGATCCAACAGGAGCCTGGTTGAAGGCTGAAGGAGGGAAGACTTTCTCCTGGAGGACTTCTGTTTCTCCGACAGTTGTTTCAGTTTCTCCTTTTCCTTTAAAACAAAACACAAATTTGACATTTAGAAATTTGACGATTGATTTCTATTTTTGTTACGTATTTGATTTGTACTGTAATAGTGAGACTACCTGATGCAGGTGAGTTTGGAGTGCAGCGACGGCCGCCTCTGTGTCGTGCAGCTGGCCGGCTAGTTCCTTGCTGCGGAGGCTGCGTTTGTGGCTGGTTGACTTGATGTTGGTGAGAGACGCCTGGTGCGCCCGGATACTGCTCTCCTGTAGTGGTGATGGTCATGTTAGTCTTCTTCCTGTTACTGCTGCTAGTCTTCTTGACCTGCTAAGGTCAAGAACCACCTCTACAGGCTCAAACAGGCCGATGCAAGAACTTACACAATGCTCTCATATTTGCCCTCCTCACATTAGCACCAATCACGCTCCACCAGCTCACACCAACAATCAAGTAGAGTCTAACACCTGAGAAAGGTGTACCTGGTTGATGGGGTTCTGGGAGTTCTTCTACTCCCCAAGCCCGGCCCGAGGCCAGGCTCGACTTGTGAGAGTTTGGTCCACCAGGCTGTTGCTTGGAGCGGCCCGCAGGCCCACATACCCACCACAGCCCGGTTGGTCCGGCACTCCTTGGAGGAATAAATCTAGTTTCCTCTTGAAAATGTCCACGGTTGTTCCGGCAATATTTCTTATGCTTGCTGGGAGGACGTTGAACAACCGCGGACCTCTGATGTTTATACAGTGTTCTCTGATTGTGCCTATGGCACCTCTGCTCTTCATTGGTTCTATTCTACATTTTCTTCCATGTCGTTCACTCCAGTACGTTGTTATTTTACTGTGTAGATTTGGTACTTGGCCCTCCAGTATCTTCCAGGTGTGTGCCCCTTTATGCAATCGCCACTTTATAAACAAACATAACGCAATCCAGTCCAACATAACAACCCAGCGTAGCCTAGCCTGGCTTAACCTAACCGAACGAAAATATGAGACAATATGTTGTTTTACATATGGTGAGCTCGATGTGTGTGACGTCACAAGGAGCAGGTTTTAGACCCTACTGCGCCGTCATAGGGATAACAGCGTCCAATGTGTCCTGTCACACTACTGTGTGACTTTCCTAAACAATACAGTAAGTAGACTCAGAAACAATCACCACTTTCTCAGTACACAGCAACAGGGACCTCGCGGCTGGATGGACAGCGCTCTGGAGTCGAAGTCGTAAGAGCCCGGGTTCGATTCCTGGCGGAGGCAGAAGCAAATAAGCAGTTTTTCACCTTGGTGCTCATGTTCACCTAGCAGTAAGTAGGTACCTGACAGTTAGACAGCTGCTACGGGCTACTTCCTGGGGATGTGTGTATTCACCTAGTTGTGCTTGCGGGGGGTTGAGTTCTGTTCTTTTGGCCCGCCTCTCAACTGTTACTAACTATTATTTTTTTCTTTTTTCCCTCCCCACACACACACACATAGGAAACAGCCCGTAGCAGCTGTCTAACTCACAGGTACCTATTTACTGCTAGGTATCAGGGTGAAAGAAACCCTGCCCATTTGTTTCCGCCTCCACCGGGAATCGAACCCGGAACCTTAGGACTACGAATCCCGAGCACTGTCCACTCAGCTGTCAGACCCCTAAAAACACACACACACACACACACACAAAATAGGTGAGTACACTGGACACCCAGTGTGTGTATGTAAGAGAAATATATGTAGTAGATATAATAAAGGAAAAATAGATTGATTAGAAAGGCGGAGTCCAAGAGCTAATAACTCGATTCTGCAGACACAAATAGTAAATACTGTACGACCCACCATCACGACCTATGTACACCTAGCTGATCACTGTATGACCCATTACTACCGGCTGAAGTAAGTGATTTTGACTAGCATTTTGTCCAGTATCAAGCAGGTACTGGTAGGTTGGTATTCCTATCAGTCTCTGAAGTACCATCTGACTCTCAAATGACTCTGTTCTCACAGCAAATCCATTACCATGCGAAACCACACACCCCCTTCAAATGGATAGTTATCTAGATATTTGTGATGATCTGAAAGCATATTATGGTTCCACTAATAATCTACATGTAAACTGGCAAATGAACCTTTGTCTTATTCAGAGATTATTCTCAAGTTAAAACGTTATTGTATTTGTAGCGAGTAGATTATCCCAATAATATACTCGCTCCAAATATAGTGTTAATATTCCTGTCAACCTTTGGAGATGAATGAGGTGAGGCGTTGCCCGGGCAACACGGTGAGGTGTTGCCCGAGCAATATAAGCAGCAAGAATAGCAAACATTAACTAGTCTACTTTCAAGTGTGGTCTAGAGCAGACACTTGCGAGATACTGTACCGACGCTCAGTGCGCTCAACTCACACCAAAGTATCACCGGTGTACTTCTGTATATTCGACCAAATATATATATAGTATCATAGTGTCTGTTTATTTGTCACCATACTTTACGTAACAATAGAACCGTTACATTGGTGACCCCAGAGAGTTTCGACGATACCCAGCCACGATGGACTACAACATGGACTCTCACTGGACCTCCACTGCTGCTGCTTGCTGTGGACCGCAGCCACCTGTCATGGAACGTTGCCAACACCCTTGCCATAGCTATGATTTTCATCGCGATCGTCTCTGCATTTTCATCTACTACGGCTTGCTGCTCCACGATCACTACTCACTCATCTGGCAGCTTCATCAGTAACTACATAATGTGGGATCTACAGCCTGTCCTGCCGACTCTCCGTCGCTGCCAGGGCACTGCTTGTTCTACAGGGGCGCCCACGAAAGCTGCTCTTTCGTCAGATTCATCTACACGTTCACTGCATTTTGATACTCTGCCGACTCAAGCCCTTTGCGCAGTACAGGACTTACAGCTTGCGTTTCCGACTCTTCGTCGCCTCCAGGACAATTCAGCTCTAGCAGTGATTCCCTCGTTGTCCTAACTACGTGCCTACATTACCTCCTAATGTCCTGGTGCCCGAGCCCATCCGCCCCGGATCTAAATGCTCCACCAGCGACCCAAGGACGCAACAATTATGCACATTCTTCTCTCCTGCTACACCGAGCTTGTCCACACACTGCCTACATCTTTTGGTACCAGACTACAATTTCCACAGTCAACAATGTAGTACTCGGCGTGTACAGTCCTAATCAACCCAAGACGCTACAGCTTCGACACAGAGCAGACAGCAGACTACGACCGCATCGAGCCGCCACGCTCTCGCTCCCCGAGTTTAGACACTCACAAATCTCAATCGAGCCGCCACGCTCTCGCTCCCCGAGTTTAGACACTCACAAATCTCAATCGAGCCGCCACGCTCTCCCACATAGAGCTCCACGACTCCGGCCTCACTCAGCTCTCTGCTCTGCTCCAGGCTTCGTCTCAACGTCTGCGACACTGCTAAATCCAGAGACACATCCGCCGACTACGCAGTTCACTTTTCGACCCCAATTACCAGCCGCACCACAACCTGATCCTACGACGACGGACGATCCTGTGCGACCTCCCACCCTACGACCCCAGTTAGATGACATCAGCGAAGAGGACGAAGTTAACTTTGATGGTTATGTAACGCGAGCAGGGCGTACAATTCACCGACCAGCTAAGTTCCTTGATCAAGTATTTTTCCTTTCATCCCCTGGGAGGGGGAGTTCTGTAGCGAGTAGATTATCCCAATAATATACTCGCTCCAAATAGTGTTAATATTCCTGTCAACCTTTGGAGATGAATGAGGTGAGGTGTTGCCCGGGCAACACGGTGAGGTGTTGCCCGAGCAATATAAGCAGCAAGAATAGCAAACATTAACTAGTCTACTTTCAAGTGTGGTCTAGAGCAGACACTTGCGAGATACTGTACCGACGCTCAGTGCGCTCAACTCACACCAAAGTATCACCGGTGTACTTCTGTATATTCGACCAAATATATATATAGTATCTTAGTGTCTGTGTTTATTTGTCACCATACTTTACGTAACAATAGAACCGTTACATATTTTAAATTGTTGGTTTAAAATAAAAATAAAAGTGTATGCTAAATTCGTTTTCTTTGAAGAATTAGGTTTTCTGTAAACTGAATTCTCGGACACACTGAGAAAGTTTTCGAATTCTTTATTTAACATTATCGTCAATAATATTATCCTAACCAAACGTTATGATACTTAACCTAACCAAACCTATCCATGGATAGAGAGAGTAGATAATAGCATTAATCATGTAGTCGTTCCCAATCCATTCCGTTGAGTGAATCCTAAGAACAAGTTACTCAAACGGTTACCTGTACATACTTTACCATCCCCAGCAAGCTTCGGTGTAGGAAAGGAGACGCTTCTCTCCTATAGGGTAATATAAACATGGAACCAGCAACCTTCCAAAGCTGTAAAGAGTATTTTACAAGAACGTAGAGACATTACAAACGACACCGAATTCCTGTTTTCCAGTATAAAAAAAGGGCTTTAGATTTATTATTTATTTATTTATGCATATACAAGAATGTACATAAGGAATGTGAGGATACAATTATGGTAATTACAGTCTTGTAAAGCCACTAGCACGCGCAGCGTTTCGGGCAGGTCCTTAATCTAAGAAAATTTTAAGGAGGTAAATACTTGCAAAATTTATAGACAAAAAAAATGATAACAGATTACATGGAATGAAAAAAAAAAGATGAGAGAAAATTATAGGTACAGTATATTAAAGCACATAGGTAGCTATGATTGATTGCAATGACAGCTTAAAATGGTAGTTGACAACAAATTGGTAGGCACAATACAGCAGAAACAATATAAGATTGATTGCAATGACAGCTTGAATGGTAGTTGACAAAAATTGGTAGTCACAATACAGCATATGGCTAGCACATAAAAGAAGACAGCAATGAACACAATGATAAGGTTGTTTGATATTACATAAAAATTAGGAGATTGGGTACCAATAGGTACAGAGCAAATTTAAAGCTCAGTGTAGGAAACTAAATAGATGAAGTTAGGTACTTTTTGGTTTTGCTTTTAAATAAGGCAAAAGTTTTACAGTTTTTCAATTCACTAGGGAGTGAGTTCCATAGACTAGGTCCCTTAATTTGCATAGAGTGTTTACACAGATTAAGTTTGACCCTGGGGATATCAAAGAGATATTTATTTCTGGTGTGGTGATAATGGGTCCTATTACATCTGTCCAGGGAGAGTTTCAGAGCATGGTTTGCATTTAAGAACAGGGTTTTGTAAATGTAGTTGACACAAGAGAATGTGTGGAGGGAGTTAATATTTAGCAAGTTTAGAGATTTAAACAAGGGAGCTGAGTGTTGTCTGAAAGCAGAGTTAGTTATTATTCTGATAGCAGATTTTTGCTGTGTGATGATGGGCTTAAGGTGGTTTGCAGTGGTAGACCCCCATGCACAGATACCATAATCTAAGATCGACTTAGATCTCTGAAAATAATCGTCTCTAACCTTGTCGAGAGCTTACCTGAACACCAAGCTGCTCGTTGTAGGCCTCCGTCTCCACCACCAGCCTCAGCATCTCCGCCACGCTCACCTTAAACAGCCACAATCATATATATGCTTCATAAATTATGACAAAAAAATCAGGCTATGAGAACTCTGTTGAGACTGACCTGGTCCTCGGCTGCATCCTGTCTGGCCTTTAGTTCTTCCTCTAGTCGCTGCTTCTTGAGGATCAGGCTGAAGTAGCAGAGTCTGGCCTGCCTCAGCTGCTCCTCCACCTCTTGCCGTCGCGCCAGCAGTTTCTCCACCATCTGTGGGACCAATAGCACATTCCGTCATCATCCTCCCTCACCACACCTACCCTCACCACACCACCCGTCACCACACCTCACGTGTGGGACAGACACACGTATACTTACCTATCAGTGACAACAGGGAAGTGAGGTCTAGCTCTTCATGCCCCGTCTTCTCCTTGTTACACCCAATGGGTTAAAACTTAAATTATTCTCACCTTCGAATTCTTTGTCGAATCTGGCTTTAAGGTTGTGGATGGAGGTGGCTTCCACAACGTCTTCCCACGGTGCATTCCATCCGTACAAGGTATAAGAACTTTCTTACTCATTTGCGTTTCCTGCTTCCACTTCCGTCCTCTTGGTGTGGAGTATTCAGGTGTGAAGCAGCCAGGTGTAGGGTAGTCAGGGGCGAGCTAGACAGGTATGGAGCAGAAATAGTTGTGAAGTACTTACCTCCTTTCTGTGTTTCTCAGGTGGAGAGGGCGAGAAGCTGTGTTCAACCAGCTGCCGCAGCTGGTCAAACACCTTCTCCAGCTGGCCATTCACCTGACCAGTAATAATAATAATAATATTAACAGTAATACTATCGTAAGGTATTTTGTTACAATTGTTGTGAAGAATAAATAATAGATATTAACTGTTATATTGCTCGGGCTACACCATTGGTATTCTTTCATCAATGTTGTTGATTTACATTAGTAAGTCATAAAAAAGATTAAAGAAAATGGGAAAGGCCATTACGATCAGTTGTCGTCACAACATTCATCTAACTAATGTTACGATATAAAATACACCAGTCTAAGAGCTGGTGACCCAATAAAATTAAATATCTTGATTAATTATACATTCAGTAACAATATGAGATTATACAAAACCCTCTTTACTCGTTAAATTTGGCGGCTGAAGGTGAGGAGGAGGAAGGGGTGAGGAGTGTAAACAAGAGAGCAGCTATGCTGGTGTGTTGAGAGTGCACGGCTGGGCAGTTGACTCGTCACGAGGCGAGGTTGTTGAGCCTACCACGTGACCCCTAACTCTACCAGCAAGTCCCAAAGGGCAACGTGACTCACATTAGTCACTAATTGTTGCAGAACTAAGGAAAGTGCCATTACGGTTAAGTCTATTAGCTCACATTAGATTGCCCAATTTATTTTCTGTGTCTAAGATTAATCGTCTAAGGCATGGACACACCACCCACATGGGTAAGCCTCATTATTATAACAATTTATGTTCATGTGTAACACCTGGACATATATGTAATCGTCAGATATTAGGGTGTATGTATTCCCAGGTGAGTGAGACCACACGAGACAGTTGAGCTGGCTACACCAGGATCACACATACGCCATTAATCACTGGAGTGCGCGTGTCCAAGGGTATCTGATGTGTGATGACCAGTCAACACTACTGAAACAGGTGAGGCCTTTTTAAATGTTCTTTATATAGTTGTGTGATTATAATCCAATAGTAATTAAATCTACTGTTTAATTACGGTAAGATTAAAATATGCCCCCCCCCCCCCCCCCCCCAAATGTGTGAAGGTAAGGTTACTGGTGACAATAAATTATAAAATACATTCCGCTTAGAAGCAATAAATACAATTTCTTGAATTAATACTCAAAAGCAATCACCGGTAAATTTCCCCACAGTAGTGGACATAAAAGAGGAAAAATAAATTTGTTAGCAAGGCGAGGTTCAAGAGCTAATAGCTCGATACTGCAGATACAAATGGTAAATATATATACATACACTCACGGGTGTAAGGGAAAGGAAGGGAGGGAATTATAAAGAGAAAGCGCTAAGCCAATACGACTACATAGCACTTGGAAGGGATCAGGATTTGGGATGGGACGGGGGGAAGGAATGGTGCCCAAGTTCGGCACCCAACCACTTGGACAGTCGGGGATAGAACGTCGACCTGCATGAACCGAGACCGTCGCTCTACCCTCCATCCCCAAGTGGTTGGACACACAGGTGTAAACCAAACAGGTAAAGAAAACAGTAATGACAAAAAAATATGTGTAATATTTTAGTGTGTAATACAAAAACAGTATTCGTAGGTGTGGTGATAATCAGGGTGTACTGACCTGGTGGGTGACGTTGGTGGCGTTAGTGCGGCCGTGCTCCAGCAGGAGGCGGTAGTGGAGGCTGTGTGCGGAGGCGGTCTGGTCCTCCTCCAGCAGGGCCTGGCGAGCTCTGGCCGCCTCCGCTGCCCACTCGACGCCTCCACCTTCGCCCTCCTCCACCTCCTCACCTCCAGCCTCGCCCTCCACGCCAAAAAAGATCATTAATAACCCGCTACCTTATTAGGAGCGATCACTAATATTAAACTAAAGTTATATTTTGCACACATTTCTGATCTCAGGTCTCGGGCACATCAGAGATTTTGGGTCTTCCGGAATTTGGTTCATGCCCCCACTCCTACACCCCAAGTACCCAAGAGTCTCCCGTGTCCCGTGTGTACTGTGTCTCCATGTGTCGTATGTGTCCCGTGCATGTACACATCTGTGTCCAACTTTTTCGCTTTAGGTGTCTTATGTGTAATCCCATGTAGCATACATGTCCCATATGTACGTGCTCAGACACGGGTCCACTGTGTGTCCCACGTGCTCAGACACGGGTCCACTGTGTGTCCCACGTGCTCAGACACGACACAGACTCGTCTCCACCAGTGTCCGTGCCCTCCCAGGCTCTCTGGGAGACATGTGCTAAGAGTCCCACCCGTGCCCTAGCCCCTTATACGTATCCCCTCTTGCCTTTGTCCGCCATGTATCGTTCATCCATGCCTCCGTCTGTGTCCGCAAGTGTACCTACCTGCCTGCGGCGCTTGAGGCTGGTCAGTACCCGCAGCTCCGCCTTGCGGTGCATGCGGGCCAGACGGTTCCTTTCACGGTACAGTCGCGTCACCTCCTGTACCCTCCGTACCGCCTCTAGCCCTGTACCTGGGGTAACAACTGTAACTGGGAATCTGAACTCAACAATATGCAGGATATAAATTCATTAGCCAACATCTTTCTCTCCAAAACTCTAAGCCTCTACAACACACACTGTCCTCTCCTCACCAAGCAAGTAACTGCCAAAGATTAAACAACTCCTGCCTCACAAGTGGCATACTTAAACTTCACTACTATGGTATCCGGGGCCTTGCTCTGGACTATAGTCGTTCCTATCTCAGTGACAGACACCAATATGTAGCCATCAATAGCATAGCCTCCCCCACTCTACCATTGACAGAAGGGGTGCCATAGGGCAGCATCTTGGGACCTGGAGGATATTAGGTGAACCTATAGCTAGGTCTTGACTCTCACTCTGTAACCTAGAGACGCAGTTGCGTATCACTAGTTTCATGCATCCTACTTCTCTGGTCTATGTATACTCCAGTCTTCATGTATGTATGTGTGTATGTACTCTTGCATGAATTATTATTACACAGAGAATAATCACACTAACGAGATGTGTCAACGAGACACATTTTTACTATATAGTAAGAACTTGCCCGAAACGCTATGCGTATTAGTGGCTTTAGGTATTGTATGTACTAGCTCAATCTATAAATCCAACATTATGTTTGTAAATTAACTACGTATGTACTTTTCCTGAATACAAATTTATTTATTTATTTATTTATATTTACTTGAATAGAGTAGGAGAGGATAGTAATCCGGGAGGAGTTATATATTACCTTGTAGAGATTATAATGAAGTCTATGTGGGGACAACGGGGCGAAAACTGGAGATCACAATTGAAGAACATAAGAAAGCGTGTAGAATTATGGCTGGTAACAGTGGTGTAGTTAACCATAGTTGGGAAAAAGATCACAATATTGACTTTAAGAAATGTGACAATCTATAAAAGTAATAATATTAGAACTAGAAAGGTAGTGGAAAGGATTCTTAAATACTCTGAATACTTTCGTTGGTAACAAAGGCTTTATTTACTTGGGAGGACAGCTTTACTAGGAAAATGATTCTGAGTGAATTAAAATTAGATCTCAATAAATGGATAAATGAAAGCAATCCCATTAGCCGCGCTCCTTGGCGTATGGAGAGGGTTACGATGGCTAGCATCCAGTTGTTGTTGTTATAGATTCAGCCACTCGGAACAAGTTTCAAGTAGCACGGGCTATGGTGAGCCCGTAGTGGACTTACCTGGCACAGGAGCGGTGCTGTGTGTCTAGGATCCATTGATTGATTGATGAAGACTAAGCCACCCAAAAGGTGGCACGGGCATGAATAGCCCGTAAGTGGTGGCCCTTTTGAGCCATTAGCAGTATCAAGAGCTGATACTGGAGATCTGTGGAGGTGCGACTGCACCCTGCGTGACGGGAGATGTCTCCCGTGGTCTAGCATCCAGATGAACACCTCTATTAATAACAACTCCAGTTCCCAGAATAGCAGGATTACAGAAAGGACACATGACCATATTTCCGTGGAAGGCATCCCCACAGGTACATCGGTAGTCGGGATTAGAGGGGACATGGCCGGAGTGTCAAGAAAAATGAGAGGACTGGACCCAGGATAACAGCCTTTACGGGCTCACTATAGCCCGTGCTACATGGACATTTCGTTCCGAGTAGCTGAATCTAAAACAATAACAACATAGCAGCCTCATTAGACGTTGAGATGTAAGTCTCGTCCTCATCACACACTCAGACCTTGACAAAGCACTCGGGGTGCACAATAATTGAACTAAACTAAGCTATGATTTTCTTCATACCGCACCTAATTCAGAGAAAACATAGCGTGGGAGACTATGGTATAATGTCCACACTTTTCGCGCACCATATTCAAATTCAAATTCAAATGTTTATTAAACACTTTCGTGCTCTAGGTAAACAAAAAAAACTTTCCCCACGTGCGCTCGGCGTTTCGGGCAATCGAGCGACAACACTAAAAAGTGTATACTCTTTTTCACTGTCCTGACCTTAATTTTCGATGTACGTATTTCATTTTTGTACCAATGTGTTCGCAATAAAATGTTCTAGAAGAATATATGTATAAAATGTCACACAAGGATGGGTTAGACCGGCACC